GGTCTGGCAACGATGGTTGACGAACGCCTCTGGTGGTCGACACTGTTGACAAATGACAATCGATAGAAAATCAATAAATCCGAATGGGCCAATCAAATTTTGTGTCGGACCTATGGCCAATGAGACTTCGCTTTACCCCTCCAAATTTTGGATCTGAGATCCAGCGCATGTCTGTTAAAATCACAACTAAATGAAAAGGCCTATTGTATTTCTAAATCATCCAGGAAACCATAGAAATACCCATATAGACTTTTAACCCATTCAGATCAGCCGTTTAGGAGTTATATGAAAAAGATACGGAAGGATACTTATTATTACTACCCGTTGTCCTATTACCCATTTACCCATAGGAACGAAGCATTTTTCCGTGGTAAAAACTAGCCTATGTTCATCAGGGATAATGTCGGCTTCTGATGGTGAAGGAATTCTTCAAATTGGTCCAGTAGTTTCGGAGCCTATTCAATACAAACAAACAAACAGTGACTTTGGGATTTGGAGGTATTCTGCCGCCTGGTGTGTGATATGAACTCGACCTTTCTGCCGATTGATCGACGGATGTCCCGTTAGCTCAATTGACAGAGCGTTAGGCATGTAACCCAAAGGTTGTGAGTTCGACTCTCACGCGGGGCGGTAGAGTTTTTTCATTTTCCGTTGGCACTCGAAATTAGGATTTTCCATCATCTTCATTATTAAACAAACAAACAATTAAATCTTCCCTGTTTATAATTAGGGTAGATATATTCGCATGACTGTCCAATTTATGGAAGACCTTGGTGGACGTTCCAGTTTATAGGAGGCAAACAAGATAGTTGAGGCATAGCAAATCATGGATATTTCAATTTACCAGATATTTCTGTGTGACACCTACGTAGGCCAACATAGATTCAGTAACCCAGCCAGCCAAAATTTAAAAATCTAATATCAACCTTCTGTACCTAACACTCCAGTCATTTAAGGAAAAAAAGGATCAAACTCAGAATAAGGGATAATAAGCTTATATATACCTTCATTTTGATGTTGTGAAAGTTGTCTCAGAAGTCTAATGAAATCTCGTGTCAGCGTCGTAAGTTATTGAAGGTCAAAGGTCACAAAATTCGTTTTTTTTGCGATTATCTCGGTTTCTATAGCTCCAATGATGTTGACACCTATTTGCGGTAGCTGTATGAAGTTATTAAATCATGTAAATATCATTGAAAATTGATAATTTGTTTCATTCATCTAATACTGTACTGTATTGAATATACTCAGCAATGCATTTTTGGTTGTGCGAAGTCTACAATATATTTATTTTCAAATATCCTTCATTCTATTCCTCAAATTTTGCTATACTTCAAAATACATGAAAATTCATGTTCCTAACTACAGAATGCACAAAACAACGCATTTTCAGTTGTGCAAAGTGAGATCAGATGATTTTATCCAACATGTCACTGCACTTATAATTTCCCAATCAGAAAACCAAGAGATGAAGTCAGTGACACCTTATATGGAAAATTTTTGAAGAAGACGGATATGAAGTATTGAAATAATTAATATGAAATTCCACTCATTTTCGTACTTTCCGGAAACGTATCTGCTCCCGTTTTCAACATAGAAATGGAAAATAACTCTTGATGAATCTAACTCCCTGCAGTGTATTATTCACTGAGATCCACAGTTGACTCAGTATTACAGTATATAAGGCTGAGCGCTGCTCTTTCTCTACCCTCTATTCGCGAGTATGAAGAACAATGACAACAAATATGGCGACCATTGTTTTGAATGAATTTCAATTATTTTTTTCTGAGGTTCACTTTGTGTCTGAGTGCTGGTAATTGCTTTTATTTGTGATTTTTCATAAAGAAATATACTTGAAGATCCCCATAACGAAATGGAATTGACAATATAGAAATAGAATAATGAAATTGAAGGACCCCAGAAACAAATAGAATTGACAATGAGGAATCATTTAATCAGTTAGTTTCAAATAATAGTGAAATGATGGAGTGATATTATAGAAAATCATTCCGGACCTATTACAAATGATGATGATGATGACCTCTCGGATGATAATATGGCACTGGAGACGATATATTATACCGAGTATTATACTGAAGCACAGGTGGAGATGATGTGTGTAATTCAATGTGATGCATCAAGAACAACAGCAAACAGGAAACCAATTGCCCAAAATGGAGGAAGTGGACATAAAAATTGGGCAAGGAGGAAAACTTCAACTAGTTTATGTGAATAAAAATGGTGAGAGACATTATTATTCCTGAATATCAGATGACAATGACACAAATATTGTGTTCAGAATGTATGAGTATGTTTTGTTGTTGCCCATGTGCCTATTTCGATAAAAATTCACAAACTTATAAGTGAATCACTGTGCGTGATCAAACTATGGGTTAGAATCAATTAATGTGTTTCTTGTTGTTGTTGTTATGCTGTATTCGGTTGTGTGTCGTGAAAATAAAGGAAAATCAGTATTTCCTTTCATGTTTATGTGTTTTATTTAGAAGTGCATATTCCAGAACCTCATTTTTCCCTAATAAAAAATTCGAATTATTGCATGAATTTTCATTGTTTCTGAAGCACAAATATAGAATTATTATATTAATGTTGGTTGCAATGATTCAATGACAAAAATAACTTCAAGTCCTCAATTGCGGAGGATTCTTGTTTATGTAAATCGAGGATATTGTTCATTCTTAGCAGTTTCTCCAACCATATATTCTTTTCTAACCTCTTCACTAGAATTCCATCTCCTTGATAACAGCCAGCGATATTTCTTGATGAATTCAATTATTTCTTCATACGTATACCATATATATTATTGTAATAGCTGATTCCTCAAGGTTCCATTCCGATCCAAGCAAGTGTTGAATGGACTATTCCGACCATTCCAAATGTTTGAAAACAGTGGAATTGTAATGTGACATCAATGATGAATAAGACCAGTGTCCACATCAAAATGTCAGTTTCTCCATACAATAGTTATTTGTTTAACTAGGCAGCAAAGTAGTAGATTGACTGCCGAGGCTGAATTCATAGCCGAGCGTAGCGAGGCTAGGAATCCAGCTAAGGCAGTCAATCTGCTGTGCTGCCGAGTTGAACATATTATTTTTTCTCCGATTGTTCATAATGATAAAGGAGGATATTGTAATTGCAAATTATTACAATTCTCACATTTCCTGTAGTGTTCAATTAAAATGAAATTTGATAGAAATCGCAGTTGTCCATGATAATTTTAGTTTGACAATTCATGAAAATTCTGACAGTTGTGTGAAAAAATATCGGTATATTTGAATTATTATATAATGGACAGTGATAGCGACGTGGAAGTACTTACACCTCCAGAAATAAGGGAGGTGGCAAAAAATAAAGAGTTGAATTTGTTGCCGGAGAAGTCTCGAATGAAATATGAAGGAAATTATAAACGATTTATGGATTATTAATTTTGCTGATACATATCAATCAGCAAAGTAACCACTTTGCTGCCTAGGCAGGAAAAGTCCCAGACAGCACCAGATATTCCATGAATCTCCCTATCATATTCCTTTTGGAATATTGGAATATTCCGTAAATAATCTGGAATATTCCGGAATATCTGTGGAATATTCTCTAAATATGCGAATGGGAATTCCTCAGATAATCATAGAATATACCCAAAAGAATATTCTATGTTGAATGTTCCTGGAATATTCCAATAAACATATTCTAAAATAAAAAAAAGTGACCCAAGTAGGGATCGAACTCGTGACCTCAAGACTATCAGAGCAACGCCTTGACCACTAGGCCAGTAATCGAATTGAATAATGTTATACATATCAAGTTCTTGTGAGAGCATTGTTCGAAATCGGATCATAAACACTTTTTGTTTCAAATTCCCCTTACATCTAATTGATGTTCGATACTCACATCTCTGAAATAATAAATGGTATTTATGTGTTGAGAAACATAGGAATATTCATGGAATATTTCATGAATATACACCACAGAATATTCAGTTGAGAATATTTCATGAATATACCGCACAGAATATTCAGTTGGGTATATTTCATGAATATACCGCACAGAATATTCAGTTGGGTATATTTCATGAATATACAACAGAGAATATCCAGTTGGGAATATTCCTGGAAGATTCATACCTGAATATTCCCTGAACATGTCCGACTATTCACTTCGGAATATTCCTTTTACATGTTCCAGAGGCATGTATATATTCTAGGAATAATCGATGAATATTCGGAATATACTCCTCCTTTTTAGCATATTTAGAGAATATTCTATGAATATCCAGTGCTGTCTGGGGTAATACTTTGCTGATTGATATGTGCCAGCAAAATTAATATTTGCTGCCAATCGGAGAAAAACAGTTTTTTTTCCATACTGGAAACCTTGTACGTCAATTATGAAGATTTTCTGCAGTCAACTTTTTATTTAATATTTTGCAAGAGGATTTCGAAATAACCAATTTGCAATGGGTACATACGGCAATGTTCTTCTTGTTCATACTCAGTTCGAAATTTGACGTTGATTTGACTTTTAATAGCGCCATCTATTGGTTAGTGATTTTCGCGAATCGCAAAAAGTTTTGATCTCATGAAAATTTGCATAATCACAATATCATTGGAGCTATAGAAACCTAGATAATCGTGAAAAAACGAATTTTGTGACCTTTGACCTTCAATAACTTGCGACGCTGACATGAGATTTCATCAGACTTTTGAGACAACTTTCACAGCATCAAAATGAACGTGTATATGAGCTTATTATCTCTTATTCCGAGGTTTATCGCTTTTTTTGCCCCTAAATGACTGGAGTGTTAGGTACAGAAGGTGATATTAGATTTTTAGATTTTGGCTGGCTGGGTTAATGAATCTATGTTGTCCTACGTGGAGATAGGTGAATAACTTACGCAGAAAAAATTGTTGAAACTAAATAATAGAGATAATAATACTTACCTTGTGCAGTTATTCACTGATGTCTGCATAAAAATTGTATGTTTTCAGGATACTAGTTCGAGCTATCAGCTACACTATACATGGTCTCATACCCGCCAGCTGTGTGTTTGCTGATAGATATAATAGAGAAGAAGTAGTTAGGTCTTTGGGAAAGGAAGTCAACATCAACCCTCCGCTGATATTAGGCCAGCTTCCAGACACCCCCGAAGAATTACTCAAATTAGACCAAGTAGGTACCCGAACGTTTATACAGCAATTTTTATCAACAGTAAAAACACAAGAGTCTTTTATCGGATGAATTTCTCTTGGTAACGAGAAACAATTGCCGATTAGTAATTTTACGAGAGAAACTGACATGGAAAAATTGCGAGACCGAGAGTCGAGTAATTTTGTCTAATGTCAGTTTTTCGAGAGAAATAACTGATGGAAATTGTTCAAGTTATTGAGGAAATTTATCCAATTCAAAAAAAAGTTCGAGTGTTTTTTGGCAGGATGAATCAACGACAATGAATGAATGAATAAATGAATGAATGAATGAATGAATGAATGAATGAATGTCTTCTATTTACAGAAGGTTACAGTACATTATTTTTACAGAAGGTTACAGATAGTGTTCATGCAATAAACAGTGAAAACTAGTTCGTTACGGAAATAAATACAGCAGTAAATGAACAGGAGAGAGTAGTTCATTTAAGAACTTGTCATCGGGTATTGCCAATCTATTGAAGTTCACTATTGAGAATATGTGTCCGCAGTTGGATCATTCGACATAAATGGAACAAATAATCAATACTAAAACTAGAAATATGATCTAATTATGTAACTGTTACCTAACTATTGATTAGAAAATAAGATAATTAATATATAAGATGATTCCGAAACGTATAATGAGGATAGAGAAAATAAAAGTTATAACATTTTTCAGAAGTAGATATTTTCTAGATTGGATCAATGACATAGGAGAAGAATGTTCTATCATTAGACAATATCCAATTTCTCAGTTTGGCTTTGAATAGACGAGCCGAGTTGAGTTGTTTCAAGTAATATACGAATAAACAACAATAATGATTACCTTTATTGATGATTCCGTGTAACTGGTAGTTTGCGGAATTGATTTTCCTGAAACGGCTCATCTTGCTAATTTACGAGTGAACCATACCCATCAATCAAATTTGACATGACAGAAATTGGAGTGACATCAGGCGCAAAAAGGTGTATTCTTTTTTATCGATGTCAAAATGACTCACATCGTCGTCAAATAGCGTTTTTCGTTAAGGAGTTAATTTATCGCTATTATTAGATTAGCAATCAACGATAGTTACGAGAAAAAATTAGTTATGAGTACTCTCTGATATTCTATGCATGGATGTTCTAAAATATTCGGAGTTAAAATACTCATGATAGAATTGGTCCTATATAACGGTCTTAGTATATTGACCACCCTGTGTCACAACACCTTTGCACCTAATCAACAATCTTTGGATAACTTCCTGACGGAAATCTTACCGTGTAAAAAAAATGCTGCTGCTGCACCTTAGGGCCACTCACCATGAACAAAAGCAGGTAAATAATCCAATTATCCAAAGGAAAAAGACAAAAACCCAAAGTCGGTCGACCGACCACTTCGACAAAAATGGATGGTCTCCACGAATTGATTTAATTATTTTCATAAACGTGATACATTCTTTGACAATGCACAAAAAACAATTATCGAGGAAGAAGATCCGATGACAAGCTTTAGACAAACGAAATTCTACTGAGGAGTGAGGTAGGACAAAAGTGTCCAGTGTTGCCAACTCATATTTCCAAAAGTCGCAAAATGTCCACCTAAAACAAAACAAAGAACCACCAAATCTGACGGAATTGAAAAAAAATGTACCGCAGGCGAACATTTTTGCAACTTTTGTGGTTTTCTGGTGGTTATAACTTCAATTGAGATCACTAGATAACACTAGATGATGGAAGTCTAGCTGGTCAACGGATCTTGGCTCAACGATGAACAATAGCGAAAAAAAAATTGAGATCGTACAAAAATAGCCAAATTGTGGTTATAACCATTAGAAACTGATCTCAGTCAAAAAAAGTAGGTATTTCTATATAAACTTTCCTGTAGTTCTACATAGTTGAAATTAGAATATGGCGTATTTAGGATACGTCCGCAACGACCAGATTGTACCATTCATTTGAGAACATCCACCAAAATAAACACTATCTACTAGATACGATACTATGTCACAAAACGAAAACTGAAACCACCAGTTCTGGTGTGAAATACAGTAAATTGGCAACACTGAGGGGAACAGAGGATCAGTCGGGTAATCACCGAACAAAGAGTCTTGCGGCCAGGACCGTAATTAAATTCGTTTCAAATGTATGAGATTATCAATTATAATATCTCCGTTATTAGGCAACTCTTATGGAGGCGATATTTGATGGATTCGTATATTTCAATGGATTATACATCTGCATAAGACAAACAAACAAACAAAAATATCTAGTAAACTATCGAATATTCATATAATAAAAGGAACTTTGATTGAATATGAATATATTGAATACCACTTCCATCGTTTTATTCCTTTCATAATATCATATCATTCATGATTGTCAGACATTCAATATTGAATGTTCATTTCATGAATAGGGATATTATTTTTTTCATTCCAACTTTCAATAACTGTATCGAGTTCGGTGATCTGGATGATTTATAGCGAAGATCATAAATGTGGGTATATTATATTCTTCGTTTATAGAAATATTTTCATGACTCAGATCAAATGAACAAAAAAACTCTTCCAATACCTATCGAAAATAATAACAAGACCCCGGAGAGCTTTTCCATGATATGAAATATTGTGAGCTGAAACTAATGAAATAAAATGAATGAATTTCAAAGGAGGTTAATATAGTTTGGTATTGAATTCAGATAATGCATTTCAGATACTCAGCTTATTACATGGATAGTGAAAGGTGAATGAAGAATTGTAGATTACTCATTCTACGAAGGCAGACGATATCGAGAAGAAGTAGGATTAGATGTTATCAAACGCATGAAATGAATTATCAATCATAACCACATTTTTCACAATCGAACAGGTGAATAATAATTTCTTAATTACTTCACATCCAAGTGATGACGTATTAGCTATTTATGTATACATAGTGTTCCTAAATATCTCGAATAGATGGACGGAGGATATTTCTTGACTTGGTTTAGGGCTAATAGTTTTTAAGAACATATTATGTACTAATGCAGAATTTCAATATAGAGAATAGAAGGGTTTTTCTCTGATTATCATAGAGAACAAACAGCCGGATGAAAATTCTAGAGATATTTTTGCTGCAAATATAGGTGACTATGGACATTTTTTACACTATTATATATGCATGATACGGACGAGCATAGAGAAATAGAGGAACCTAATTCTCAATATGAGTATGAGATACATTGACCCAATGACAATGATTAGTATAATTTTGAAATTTTGAGGATTTCTCAGTCAGCGACCAGACGAAATTTTGGCGATAGGAACTCAAAATGAAGTGATCTTTACTGATAATCTCAACTTCAAAATCCTGTCTCACTGAATAATATACAGAGTATTTCAAAATTCATCATCAAGGTTTCAGGGGCTATAAGATCAAAATATAACTCTTTCTCTGATAAACATGTGTCCGCACACGCTTAGTTACAGATCTACAGAGCGTTAAAATTTCAAGATCTTTTCTTTTATTCTTCATATTTATTTCAGATTTCGAGATATTCAGATCGAATGCGAAAGATGAGTTATGTTCCAGGATTCACATCATACAGTATGCCAAGTGATTGTAAAAATCGACAGGAAGATATTTTTTGCGGGGTCAGCCGTTTTTTGCTCCATAAACTCTCTTTTGGAGTGCTCCACTGGTTCAGAAATGCGAAATGAGTTCTTCGTTTTGTTCATAGACTTTTCTGTATCTTATAATTTTTACGTATCTGCGACCGTTATCGAGAAAAAATATTTTTTTATTCATTTGCCAGATTGAATTAAAATCTTCAAAAGAAGGGAGAAACCTATCATGACAATGAAAACAGAAAACGCTACATATTTAGTTCGTGATGTTAACTTTCAATTTCCAAACATTTTCTCAAGAATAAGAAACCTAACGAACCTTGACTCCTTATAAATGGTGCTGGAAAATAAGAAAAACTTTTACGTTCTGTAAATCGGTAACGTAGCGTTTGCGGACACATATAAAAAAGTCTTATTTAGACCTGAAAGAGATTCTGAGATCTTGATACTGAATTTCGAAACACCCTGTATAGAATGATAGGTAGGTAGGAATTTCAATCTTTACTGAGAATGTTTGAAGACATTTTTCCAATTTAGTGACTTTTACGATTAAAAACGGATTAGCGATTGCAGATAATCTCACTTTGTATCTTCCTTCTTTTTATTGCTGCTGTACCCACTTGATTTTTGATAAAGGGATCTTAAGTCGCCTTTACTTTTGTTTAGTTGTGATATTAAACTGACTGACTGTAAAACTTTGAATGGATAATCTCGGAACACACAAGGACTCACGTGGTATAAATTTGAGAAATATTCATTATTCCAGATTTTTTGGGATTTTCTCTCATCGTTTCTATAATATAAAAATATGAATATTATTTCAATATAGTAGTACGTGTAGTAAGGACAAATCAGATGAATTGCCCCGAAATGTCACTGCGTTTAAAGAATTTTCCTATCAGAGAGCCTAAAAGAAAAATTCACTAGCTTGTCAGTGACAATTTGTATAGAAAAAAGTTTGAGGAAGAGAAATAAAGGTATATAGCAGAACTATCAAATTTTTACTTAGCTTTGGACGTTCCTGAAACGTGAATTTTTCTTTTAGGCTCTCTGATAGGATTGGGGCAAATCATCTGATTTGTCCTTACTACACGTATATTGAAATAATATTCATATTTTTATTTTATAGAAACGAGGAGACAAAAACCCGAAATATCTGGAATAATGAATGTACCACCTCCTCGATTAACCTACAGAAAGTATTGAGAAATATTTTTTTTAAATCAAAGTGATGCTTGCGTTCTAACGTGAGGAGAAATCATTCTTTTTGTGGCAGCTTGTCCAAACTCAACAACGAGGAGTATATCTCAAGGAGTATGGATATAATAATAATAATAATAATAATAATCGTCTTTATTCATGAAGAACATGATAGTACATTGACTTTAGAAAGGCGAATGAGAACCTATATGACTGACACTATACCTATACTGTTCCAATGAAATAGTGTCGTGCTAATTACTGTCATCTATTCTTGGCGCAATAGTAATTTCAGATCTGTACGGAAAAGAATTCTTTCGAAATCTTGGAAATTATGTTAAACTGTAGTTCTCAACTCCATTCATTTATGAATTCTCAACAGTAATTTCACAATGTTCTAAATATTCGAGATTATTCTGTCTTTTTCTTGCTCGGCAACACAATTGAGAAAATTTTTAGAACAGATTGGTAATTTGGTGGACTATTTCACGAAGCATAAGAATCCAGGTAGCACAATGTCATTCATAGAACGTTCATAGAATATTCTTAGAGAATATTTGAATATTCTCAGAATATTCCCACAATATGATACAAATATTCTAGGGATGTTTTATGAACATTCGGAATGGACTGTTTTTCAATATTCGGAGAATATTCTAGTATATTGAAGGAGAATGAAGAAAATTAAAAAAAGCTTGCTCCGGTGGATCTGATGAACATTCAAAAGGAGAACATGAAAAATAAAGAATAAAATCCTCCGAAATTGAGAATTGACATTCTTCTTCAAATCGGATGAATAATATGATGTATAATGATATAGAAATATAACTTACCAATATAATTCAATGTTCGACGAGGCAAATAGCCAGGAAAGTAGTTGTTTTCTGTTGAATATTCAGAAAGATGTGTGCATATACATCTTTTTGTCTGAAGGAGAATGCAAATTATCAATTTCAGAAGTTTTTATATTTTATTTTCAAACTCTTATCGTGTGTGTTCAATAGATATAATTCAATGTTCGTCGTGGCATATAGCCAGGAAAGTAGTTGTTTTCTATTGAATCAACTGAGAAAGAGTAAATATTCTCATCACATAGAGAATGCGAATTCTCAATGTATTGCTTTATATAAATATATATCCATTTTTGTATGTTCATGATTTGTCTGAGAATATTCCTTTTCGACACTTTCATACCCGATCAGGGGGTTCAAACTTGAACGATGGAAACTTGTGATTTTTATAGACCTCTAATCGCAGATTCGTGATAGAGTCTCAATTCAGAATTTCTTTCCACGCCCTTATGATGAATGTCAATTTATCATACACCCAAAAGCAATCTAAGAATATTCGAAAAAAATATTGTCGAAACATTCGAAAAGATTATTCTGAGAATATGTCAAATTGAATGTTCATAGATTCTGTGCTGTCTGGGGAACATTCATTATGAATGAACAAGCTAATATATTTATTATAAATGAACGAGCCTATAATTATGGCCAATGATTATTTTATCTCAAACTGACAGACTTTGTTTTACTATCCACGGAGACATCGTTGAAAACACCAATGCTGAAAGACCAAGCAGAATCAAAAGACAGCTAGTATTTCCGCGATAGTACAAGTTCCCTTTGGTTTGTGATTTGTCTAATGATGTGAGAATTTTAAGCTGAGTGAAATGGTCTTATAAACTTTGTAGCATAACATTCACAATTCATTGAGATTGACTGTTCACAAGAAACTTTTCTCTTCTAAACTTTGCTCTCTTTCAAGGTATTCATAAAATCCGAACTGAAAGTGGGCGTGATCTACGTGAAAGAAGGCCAGTGCACCGAGGAAGAAATCCTAGACAATAACGACAACTCCATGATGTTCGAGGAGTTCCTTCAAATCATGGGCGAGAAAGTTCGATTGCGTGGATTCGATAAGTACAAAGGCGGCTTGGACACCGTCCACGACCTCACAGGTAACACAAGGATTTCATGGTGTGCTATCGATTAATCCACTGATTATAAAATACACCTTTTTGATTGGTTGAAATGTTTGTATTGATAATCAAAAACATGATGTTTGATGGGTCAGTTTTGAACAGCATCACGACAGTAGTTGATGATTTAAAAGGAAGTGAAGGAATAAATGAATATTGTATCTCACCACCACCAATCTAGTCATCATCAGGGTGAATGAGTGACTATTGATATATATATATATCTATTTTTCAGTGTTTGTTTATAAGAGTTATACTCACGATAACTAGAGACAGAGAAAGAGAGAATATGCTTTATTGTCTAAAGATGTAAAATCTTATTGACAAAGTAAGTCAAAATAATAACCTCAAAAAGAATGGGTTGCGTGCAAGAACTGTCAGATGACCGACGCTGGAGGCAAAACATTGAAACACAACGTCACTTTTCTTATTTGTTTACAAGTGATCCAAATAAATTTTCACAATTATTTCGGCATACGAATCGTATTTTTCCGCTATTCATCAATTCGCTCATGCCATCACATTGTGCTGTTGTAAAATGCACAAAAACTGCAGCAGAAGATGAAGGAATCCGGATGATACAGTATGATTTAAAAGTAAGTACCTACTATAGTCACTCGCATATAGTTTTCATTTTTGAAATTTGGTAATTTCTCTGATTTCTCATCGGAATTCCTTCTGCGATAGGAGCTAATAGAAATACACCTGAAATTTCTAAAATAATGCAAGAAGATTGGATTCATGCAATCAATCGGGAGGACTTGTCTGACATGCTGACGATCGTGTGTAGTGTAGACATTTTCAATCTATTAGTAGTATTAGCTTGTATTGCAGGAGTGGCAGAAGGCAGAAGGAATTTTAATAAGGAATGACAACATTTCATAATGATAACTATGTGAGATTACTGTTTACCTGAAAAATCATATTCCTTAGTCTCTTGCTGCATTTTTTGTGCATTGTACAACAGCACAATGCGAAGGCATGCTTGAATTAATGAATAGCGCAAAAAACACGATTCGTATGCCAAAATATTGTGAAAAACTATTTTAATCCTATGATTCCTCTGTAACCAAATAAAAAGGTGAGGTTGTGTTTCAATAATTTACAGAAGAATGAGGTTTGTGTTTCAATATTTTGCCTCCAAGGTCGGTCATCGTGCACGCGACCTATAAAAATCAAAACTGGAACTAGAGGAAATCGCTATTTTAACACCACAACATTTCAAAACCTATTTGAAATTTCTTATAAGCTAGTTCATAGGAGACACATTATTACATATTAAAATATTGCTTGTGAAAATGATTTTATGGTTGAAATGTTTCATTGAAAAACTCTTGTGAACTATAATAGGGTTTATCCGAAAAGAGTATTTTTGTTCTCTGTTTGAATTTTTTACTGGATCCAACTTCTTTGATATATCTTTTGGCAAATGATTGAACATCTTACAGCCAGTGGCATGGTGTGCAGGAGTAGTGTCAAATTTTCCTAGATGTTTTTCAATTAATCGTTTCCATGACGAAGATCGCATAATCTGTGAAAAATTTTGTGTTCAATACAGAGGGGTCTGCGGTTGTCACGAATTTTTGCTTTGCACATATATTTTACTTCGCGTTTTTGCAATATGAAAACTGAGTTGATGAGATGATCATTACACACCGCCCAAAATGGGATTCCATACCTTAAATGAGATTCAACTAAAGAGTGATAAACATCCTTAGAAGAAACGTCATGGAAACCATCCATCCTTCTCAAAGTGGTCCAGATTTTTTCAAAGAAAAAACATAAACGCAAAGTCGGTCGACCACAAAGTTTAATTACAAAACAAGATTTTTGTGACTAGTTTCGGCTCAAGCAGCCATCTTCAGACACAGTATATAGTACCTGTAAAGATATTGATTTACAAGAAAAAATGTCATATTGAGGAAAAAACATACCTATAAAGTACACGTGGAATCACACATAATTGATTAATTGAAAAATTTTAAATTGCAAGGGTCATTGGCCAAAAATTCAGTCAGGTGAAAATGTTTTGCTTGACATTTCGTTGCCATCTCCTTGGCTTTTGTTTTTTCAAAAAACGGCCATTTTAAGATGAAACTCATGTGAGTGAATTTAACTTCTAGCTTTCCAATTTTTCTGCCAATGTTGAATCTAATCCTTATTAGGTTCTTTTGGCTGTTCAGTCGGTTCAAAATAATACAAACATTTTCACCTGACTGAATTTTTGGCCAATGACCCTTGCAATTTAAAATTTTTCAATTAATCAATTATGTGTGATTCCACGTGTACTTTATAGGTATGTTTTTTCCTCAATATGACATTTTTTCTTGTAAATCAATATCTTTACAGGTACTATATACTGTGTCTGAAGATGGCTGCTTGAGCCGAAACTAGTCACAAAAATCTTGTTTTGTAATTAAACTTTGTGGTCGACCGACTTTGCGTTTATGTTTTTTCTTTGATCCTTAGAAGAAGAAAATCCTAGTTCATTTGATGTGACCCTCACCGCATAACATCCAGAAGACAATTTTTTGTTCAAAACTTTAACATGCTCATCAAATTTCAATTTGAAATATATTTGAATGCCTAGAAATTTTGTATTATCGGTGTTTCCTATAATCAATGACTACCTCGTCTAATTGACCTTGAAATATTAGTTTTTGTCAAATTCATCACCAACTGATTTGAATCACACCATATTTTTTTAAGCTCAGACATGTTCTCCTTGATAATATCAAGAAGTGTTTGTGTTTTTATTATGAGAAAATACTTGTATCATCCGCGAACAGCGTTATCTTTCCTGATAGGTTAGCTCTGGCCAAGTCATTTATGTAGAGTAAAGAATGCGTTGGTCCAAGTATAGATCCCTGAGGCACACCATATCCTACAGTCGACTCATCGGAGTATGTTGTCGTTTTCACAATTTAGATAAGTCACAGAATACTGCCGCAGTAACTTCACCTCGATTTATCTATGTGAAAACTTCAAACAAAAAACAAAAAATTGCATCATTTCTATCCTTTCAAGCTTGAAAACCGAACTGAGCATTAGTGATGATTTTATTTTTAACTAAGAAAGCCGATAATCTAATCTTAACTAATCTCTCAATAATTTTCGCTAATGTAGGAATAAGAGAGATAGTTCTATAGTTCGATGGGTTATCAAGGTCACCACCTTTGTGCAGAGGAATAACTACAGATATTTTCAGAAAATCGGGAAATGTACCATCTTGGAAAGTTTTGTTTATTAGATTAACCATGATATTGACTGCATTTTTTGGAAGATTTTGAGATATTCGTATAGAGATACCATCAATTCCTGAAGTTGTTTTATTTTTGATTATAACATTCCTCACTTCATAAATATCAGTATCATAGAGTACTAGAGAATCATTTGTGGAAGGACCATGAAAATGAGCCAATGGATCGACTTGTGAATGTATATTCTCCCTAATTTTTTTAGCCATAGAGCAATAATAATTATTTAGAATATTTGGTGATAATCATGTTCCTACTTTCCTAATACTTTTTCCTCTGAGGTCGTTTTTCACGCGCCAGTTCTCTTTAGACTTATTGTCAGCATTTTCTATTTTTGAGAGTCTGTATTAACAGGGTTTTTATCTCCAAAATTTATATTGAGATCTCCAGTAAGTAATATCATAGAATTTGTAGCAAATTTATTCAGGACTAATTCTAAATTTGTGAGGAATAAATTGATATCAGAAGTCGGTGGTCTATGGAGTAAAGTATTAATATTGCGCTTTCTGATTATCAGACCCAGAATTTAAGTGTATTGTGATGTGACATGTGTAAGGATATTGTGGAAGTGTGATTTTTCCATTATTTAGAATACTTCCAGAGAATTATTCATTTTGTTGACAATTCTCATTTCACGTATTTAAATTTCAAGTGTGGGATGATAAGGCTGATGTACATAACATACCTATTGACGAACACTCACAAAGAAAGGTCCGTGGTAATAAAGTCTATGCGAAGTCAGTTGGAACACATCACCGCGGACCGTCGGTCCCTTCGAAACTTCAAAGAGAGTGGCAGCGCGCTGGAATTCCTTTTATGATCTGTCTCAACAGACTTTGCATAGACTATTTATAAATACCTTATGGGTGGTTTGGAATCTTACTAATATTTTATAACCCTTCAAGACAGGCGAAAATAGGAGGTGACATTTAGAACTTTTTCGTGAAATATCTCGACATTTCGTCACCCTAGAATTTTCTTGTTCCATATCCCAAAACATCAATATTGGGAAATTGTATTTCAAGACTTTATGATTAACTGATTACATCTTCATAAGTTTTCCTTGCCTTTTCACCTCTATACATGTCGTCGCCTATATATTTAGCATGATTATTTGCTAGGCAGCATTGGAAAACGTTGAATATATTTTGATTTATTCGAGATTTTTATTATGGATATAGAACAATGATCGTAACTTTCGTAAATGTTACAAAAAATTGTGGATATTGCTCATCTGGTGAGTGAAGAATTCTTCTACATTCATAGTAATCCGCGATATTTGTTGTGTATACCTACTCTCTACCATTCAACATACACAAAAATAGTCATGGAAGGATAGGAATAGAAAAGAATAAAAGAATGAAGAAAATAAGGAAATATAATATTATACATGAAATTATGGACATCTTATTAGATTTGCATAGTTCAAATCATTTCGTTTTTTTTATTTCTTCAGTCCAGTCATCTTCTCCCGTGAAAATGCTTCTTCTTTGGTGCTGTACTTGCGGCTTTAGTGGTACTTGAAGTCTGGGTTTGTATCTTGTTTGTCGCAAGTATTGTGTCATAAAATGATTCTTCTATATCATTGAGAATGAAAGGATTCATCTCTGTGGAGTGTTATCTCTTCATATCGGGAATTGCAATCTTTTGTTCGGCAAGAGGCTCATCATTGCAGAAGTTGTAATGGAATTAACTTTTTTTCAGGGCGACATTTTGTCTGTTTCTTGTTTCTATTTATTTTTACCATTTTTTGTAGTTCTACATCTTCATAATCAGTGTCAAATTATTTTTTGAATCTGATTGTGTTAACATCGGCTATTTATTATGTGTTTCAATCTGTATATGGAACAAACAATGAAGTAAAAGATAATTCCGAGTCGGCATCATGAATTTCGGGATATAGTTCAAATATTTACTGAAAACTTCTTCATCGATCAAATTAAACCTTGTTTTGCAAATGGATGAAGAACAAATAATTTTTTGCAAATTTTTCCATGTATTCAGTTCAAAAAGTACTGACATTTGATATAGAACAAGATGATTCTAGGGTGACGATTTAGTGTTTTTACAAAATTACCAAATTTTCCACTAATATCACTGCACTATAACTCACAGGGCTGTACTCGGTGTACACGAACTGGAGGAACATCGAGATCATGTTCCACGTGAGCACGCTGCTGCCCTACGAGCGGCACGATCCGCAGAAGCTGCAGCGGAAGCGGCACATCGGCAACGACATCGTCTGCGTGGTTTTCCTGGAAGCTGACAACACAGCCTTCTCGCCGGCATGCATCAAGAGCCATTTTTTGCACACCTTCATTGTCGGTGAGTGATATTTTTCAGCCTTACGGGGGCAAATTTACGTTCCCCATACAGCTAGCGCGACAGGTCGCTCTCACGGCATAGGGATTGGAGTACATACTGGAGCACTCCGTTTCCTAGCTAATATGCGCGAAGGGCATCGGCGTTCCCGCGTGTTATTGTTTATTGTCATCAGCAGAACGCTGCGAGTAATTAGTTGCCAAATAACTGTGCTCCCTTTATAACGTACCTATTGAACATTTATTCCTTAGCAAAATGAATCTAGGAACAGATAGAAAATGCATTTAATACATTTTCTGTTATTTATAAAGTCAAGTCATATTACAAGACAAAATAGAACTTGCTACGTTAGCACTTGGAAATACTATCAGTGGTGCCAACTTCTTCAAAGAAATGGATGAAGAAAAACTGAAAAGTTAAGTAACGAGATTACTGCAGACTTTGGCGTACCAATGACGTTGGAAACGGAAGATGGCCTTAATGAGACGACTCCTTATGTAGAAAATAATGTTTCCGTTGAAGTGAACGGAACTGAACTGATGGATCAGTCGAACTCAATGAATTCAAAGACAACTTCACAAAATTAGCAGCTTCGTGGAATCTCATCCAGCACTATTGCCTATTGTCACGAAGTTCAATAGGCAGATGGAGAAAATGGATAGCGAAGCTTCGTTCTATGCTCTATGTTCCTATTGCTAGAAGAACATCTGCTCACAGAGGTGCGAAAAAGAGACCTCGCAAAAAGCGTTCTTCAATAGTGAACATCCTACAAAATATCACGAACGCTGTAAGTCATGGTAGTGCGCACTAATGATTATTTTCTATTGCTTCCATATTCTTTATAACCAGTAAGAAGAAAAATGTAATCTGAAACTGAAAAGCATTTCTAATGGTCCGATGATATATTTTGTCCATATTTTTTGTATAGTTGCATATTTCGCATTCCGTCGCAGAAACTCCGATCTGATAGATGCGCTTTCAATTTATGAATTAATAGTAGGTACGCAAGCGCACATGCCCAAAATCTGGACTATCAAAGCATTAACCTTACTAATTCGTTGTTTACAATTCACATAAGGAGCTAAAATTCCGAATTTCATGATGTTTTCTGATCTGGAAGAGACTGGGTTACTTTTATTCACAATTATTGTGTTGAGTGCAATTATTTTATGTTAAAACAAATTTCATAACATCTGTCAGATATCATGTCTGACATTGGTTTGACCAATTCATGCCTTCTATACCAGTCGATGGAACCAATCCGCGATCATCTGCCTACTAGAGTTGCGCACTAGAAAAAAACCTGGTTCAATTTAAGTAAGAAAGTTAAAAGTTGGCCAACCTCTTACTTGTTACTTGTTTATTGATAATTGTTAAATGTCTGCATAAGCACCTTCATTAAAAACAGGAAGTTCAACTTGAGGAACATCGTGGGGAGGGGGCAGGGGTAATTCCAACAATGATTGGTTAAGTAGCAAATCAGAAAATATAAACAAATGAATAATGAGAATGAAGATTTTTTTATTTGTTCAAATGTGCCACATCATTTTTACGGATATTTTTGATGAAACAGTCTCTAGGGCTATTCGGCAAAATTTTGAGATTTTTCACTTTGACATTGAACTCACGTTTTACTAACGCCAACCGGGTGTGACTGAGAATATTAGCCCTCATTAGCCAAAATTTTCGGACTGCCTCTATAGGGCTATCCGGCAAAATTTTGGGAGTTTTCACTTTGACATTGAACTCACGTTTTAGTATCGCCAACCGGGTGTGACTGAAAATATTAGCCCTCACTAGCCAAAATTTTCCGGAAAGCCTTTAGGGCTATCCGGCAGAACTTTGGTATTGTTCACTTGGACCATAAGACAGTTCACTCGTTCATTTTTCGACTTCTAAGAGATCTCGCCGCAACCTAGCCGACCGCTGGATTCTGCCGGCTAACGACTGCCGGGGCCTTTGAAATCGCAATCTAATTAGCTGTCAACCGACCGCAACCGTTTGGCGGTGCAATGATTTATAGAAAAGCAAAAAATGCAATGTTGGGCTGTACCGACAAACGGATTTCACTAAGTGAACTATCTTCTAGAATTCAGTAATCTTTGCTTGGACATTGAACTCACGTTCTAGTAGCGCCAACCAAGTGTGACTGAAACTATTAGCCCTCATTAGCCACACGGAAAAAATGATTGGTTGCATCAACCAATTATTTATGCTTGAATTATTTTTGTTGGACTGAGCAATTGTTTGTTGAATCAACCAGATACATGATTATTTCATGGAAACAGCTTGTTCTAATCAAGAATGTAGTGTAATTGAATCAACAGTATAATATCAATTCCATCAACAAAATATATGGGTTTCTCAAGAACAAGGTATGTCGATTCAAAATAATGTCGATGTTGATTCAACCATGAACATTTTGTTGATTTGATGAAATAATGATCATTTTGATGAAAATATATCTTTGAAACAACATACAAGTTTTCTCATTCCGATGTAGCAATGAACTCGTTTCGAACGGATCATTTGCTTGAATAGAGCAACGAAATAAGTAATATCAATAAAATATTTTGTTCATTCAACATCAAGTTCTAGATGGCGATCATTTCGCCTCGTCTATGCATGCTTCGAATTAATTATATACGTGAGGCCGGATTCTGCGTCTTTGAAATATCAGCTGGATATATCGAACTTAGGATGATTAGCAATCCGAAATAATTTGGCATCAGCTGAAGGGAAGTAAAGACTGGATATCTATGCAAGAAGTCGGCTAGTATCCTTATTTAGTTTATTCTCTTGATGTGAAATTTCAGAAAACTCCCGAATTAATTCTGAATTTCATTCAACAAAACACTTTGTCGAATGAAAATACAATTTATCTTGAATCAACAAAATATTTCATTGAATTAACCAAATATTCCATTGAATTGACCAAATATTTCATTGAATCAACTAAATATTTGAGTGAATCAATATCTTGTTATTTTGAATCAAACAAAATGTTGTTTGAGCCAATTCAATATCTCTTCATGAACAATTCATCGATATACTTGATTGAATAAGATCCAGAGTTCATTCAAGACATATTCACTCAATTCAAACTTTAAATCCGCTCTGAAACAAGATATAGATTAACTCATTTCAGGATTATATTTTATTTACAACCATTATGTAATGTTGTCATTATTAACGTCATTGAAGGTTGGGAAGTGTCACATTACACACCTCTACTTCCCGCCCTCACTTCCCGCCCCTCACTATACTTCCCGCCCTCACTCATGTAATAATTCAGGTATGTTCGGAACGAAACATAGATTTATTAATTTCGATCGAAATATGATGATTGTAAATAAAATAGTATACAAACCTCGGTAGGAAGTTTCATTCCTGTCTCGAAATTATAGCTAACCTCGACGCTTTGCGTCTCGGTTAACTAACTAATCTCACGACAGGAATGAATCACTTTCCACCTCGGTGTGTATAAAATTCTATTGTCGAGCATATATGACAGTTTTATTTGCTTCATTCAATTAAATTTTGCTTGATTAAACAATTAATTTTTTTCCGTACAAAATTTTCTGGTTTTCGGCCTGTGACTGAAAATGCTCTCGATCCCATCAGTGCGGACCTCACCGAGGATAAAACGCAAGCCCACCCGCTACGAGGTCTCCGTGGTGTCCCGCGACGAGGTGGGCGCCTACAAGCCGTACCTGTGGGAGCAAAGCGTCTTCGACAAGGAGCCCATGTTCCGAGAATGGCTGCTCACGAAGATCGTGAATGGCGAGCGGGCCAGCTACTCGGCGCCCAAGTTCGCGCGCATGCAGGACCGGACCAGGTCGCAGATGCTCGAGGACATCGTGGCCAATCTGCAGAACCACGCGGAGACCGGGCAGATACCCAAGCCGTACAGGAGAGGTAAGTGGATTCGATTATTTTCAGCTTCCAGCGGGCTCGCTGTCAAACGACAAGCACGTCCAATATCTTCCTTCATTTTTATCTATCAGTCGCGGGTATCAAGCTCCAAGCTATTCGTACTTCAGTGTATGTTCGAACTACAGACGGATCGGGTTTGCTGAAAAGTATTTGTTACCTCTTGATATTTGGAAGGAAAGCAAAAGGACCAGCTAGTTGGTGCATAAGTTGGCGCTCATGTAGGACCAGACCAGGTCGCAGAGATGCTCGAGGATAACGTGGCCAATAAGAACCACACAGACACCGGACATATACCGAAGCCGTACCGGAGAGGTCAGTGGGTTCGTTCATTTTTACCACCCAACGAGCGCGCTGTCGTAATATTCACGACAAACATGTCCAATATCTTCCTCCATTTTTATCTATCAGTTGCAAGTATCAAGCTCCGAGCTATTCGAGCTTCAGTGTATCTTCGAACTACAGACGTATCGGGTCAGCAGATTATTTGTTGTCTTTTGATATTTGGATGAAAAGCGAAAGAGCCAGCTACTCGGCGCCTAAGTTCGCGCGCATGTAGGACCGGATCGGAGGATATCCATGGGACATAATTGTGTTATTAGGGATGATAATACCGAGCAAAGATATAGTGGTTTTGGTGGAAATGGTGGTACCAGACATTGTTTTTCCAGGCATACTGAGTTCCGCCTTCCATCAAGGTTATCGGTTTCCCAGGCTGCAATTTCCTCAAGATCCAAATTGACAGCATTGACCTGCCTTCATCATAAATTTCTAGTTTTCCAGGAATGAATGGGAATTCTAGGAGAGAACGCAGTATGGAGAGTACTATCGTCTGCAAAGCTGTGGATATGGCAACTGATAGTTGCTCCCAGTAGATCGTTTATATAAAGTAGAAACACCCAAGTAACATTTTAAATGCCTAATAGCTTCGATGAGACTTTAAAGAGGTTATGTGAGCGCAAATGATAGGTCTAATTTGTTCTACCGTTTTATGAATGTCCTGGAAAAAGCAGATTGGCCTTCATGTCCATATAATCCTATTAAAAGGCTTTGAGATACTATGATAGAACTATCGCATAAAACAATTTGGCATTCAGCTCACTTCGGTTTTAAGAGAGCTCTGTGAGAGTCATTGGAATTCTTCATCAAAACTATTTACTCTTAACAACCCTCTTAAAACTCTCAAGTTTTATCAGTGTCTCGAATTTGACCAAGAGGTTCTGAACTAATCCTATGAAAATACGTCATAAAGCAATCATAAAACCAAATTTACACTAGGCCAATTAGGATTTGACTGAGGCAATAATGAAACCTATTGGCATTATTGTAGCTATGTGAAAGTAATTATTAAAACCTATGAGCCACAATGAATTCATCGAAGTCAATCATAAAATCTATAGGATTTATGAAGTTTTATCTAGAACCGTGTTAAACCCAAATCCCATAATATAAATGTTCGTATTTTTTTGCCTACAAACGACTCACGTTGAAATGGACTCACAAGAAAATAAATAGTGTGAAATTAAGAGAAATGGCAACTCCAAGCGAAAAAATGAAGAGAATTACTTAAGAATCAAAAATCAAGTCGTGAAAGCAACAGTAAATCAGAAATCTCAAGCCCAAGCAATTCCAAACACTGCGTCTTTCAATTCATACCACCTGAATCCACCAAATAGCAAGAATTTATTAGGACCTGATGTTCATGAAGTACCATCAACGAGTCAGAACGTAATGGAAAATACTTCTGATCATCGTTTTGCACAAATTATGTCAGATGGCGAGTAGAGCATGAATTTGAGAGAATGGAGCAATCAACACAATATCAGGCGAATTGCACTGAGTGTAGGTTGTCTATGTTTCCTACTCGGTTTACTACTTTAAACCAATCACAAAATTCACAAAGTGAACACTGTAAACAAAAAAAGTGGGGTTATGTTAATCCAACCAATGAGCACTAGCCAGGATATTCTTAAAGCTTTATAGTTTTATGAAGGCATTATCTTATAACCTTCTTAAATCAATCTTATCATTTTCGAAGCTTTGTTGTCATACCCAGGAGCAAATAGTCATAAGAATGGATTCGAATATGCAATAAGTACTTCAACAGGAGGAAATCGTCTCATAAAATGCCTTATCATTACCTAAAGGTTTTAATCAAGCATTAGAGAAAGAAAATTGGTTTTAAGTATATTTTGCGCCATATTTACTACAAACAGATGTCGGCCATTGATGGAAATGAAAATTTTAAGCGGAAAATAGAAAAGATGCATTGATACTGCCGTCGAAAATGTTGTTTTTCCACATTTTTCAAACGACTCACCCATATTCAGCAAACATTCACACAGTTTTGTCAACTTTTTTGAAAAGGTATTAAAATTCACATCCAATTCTAACTGGTGAAAACACATTATTTCTAGGGCGCTGCTTTTTTTGAAGCATATCTGGTATGTTTTCGTCAAAAAAGTCTTCATCGTTTTCATTTTACAGCCTCAATCTTCACAAAAAAGACTATTTGATACAGTAGGGAATTATATATCATATCATACCGCCATGTTTAATCTCTTTTATAACTATCTATTGTTCTCTCTCCATTTTGACATGTTTGTATTATAATCAGTTCAGAAAAAAGACTATCATAAAACACGTTACGGACTATATTATCTTAACAAATGCTTACTGCGACTGATAAGGTTTCAATTCTAGCCAATAAGTTTTAATGTTGGCACAAGAACTGTCGTTTTAAAACATACAGGTTTGAACTCGTGCTAAAAGGCTTCAAAGGGAGTAGTTTTGATAGGTTTTATTATTGCTTTGAGGCATACTACAATAAATTCCTATTAGCTTTATGACAAGCTTTAAGAGAAGCTGTGACAGCATTTATAAAGGTGGGCCCTTTATGTTTTGAGAAGGTTGTTTAATTGTTTTAATGATATTATTAAAGTATAATAGTTTTAAAAAGGCATTTTAAAATAGGCTGTAACAACCTCCTGTAGCTAACAATAAAACTGATAATGTTATTTGGGCAATGTTGGTGCCAGAATTGATCCTTGTGGAATGCCGAAATTGATGACAATGATATCGGACTACTTTACGTCCATCGCCACATGGAGCGATGTGCCTGAAAGGAAACTCGATGAAAGATGGCATAGCTGAAATGGTGAGCGCTATGATGGTAGTTTGTGGATCAGTCCTTGATGACATACAAGGTCAGATGCCTTTGATATATCTAACGCCACAGCTATCATTAATGATTCCTGAGCTTTCCATATATCTGATTACCTGAATGTTGATGGCTTTCTCGATTACTTTGAAGTTAACTGATAACAGGGCAATGGGCCTATAGTTGTTGTTGGGCAGGCTTTTGTTTCCTTTTTCAAGGATAGGTTGGACTCTAGCTATTTCCCAGCAAGATGTTAGGATACCCGACATGTAGGAGATGATAAATAGCTTGCAGAGAATCGGTGTCAATTCTGGTGCACACTCTTTGGGAATAATTGGTGGAATTTCATTGTATTTTTCGTGTAGGATCTTGGAGACCTATCGGCCACATGCGTCCCTCATCACCCTTACTGGACAGTGTCCGCGACCAATTCGAGAACCACGAACACATGGCCAGGGACTTCACCAAGACCTTCTTGAACAGCGAAGAGAACACCGTGACCAACGCTCATTTGTTCGACGTCGTCTTCATGGTCGGTCAATCTAAGCAGAAGGTCAAGTTGGTGGGTGTCAGAGCGATCCTCGGGGTGAGTATTTCATCAAATAAATGGAAGAATACAGGGAGATAATTTGAACACCTCCCACCCTCAATAGCTTCCTTGCAGTGGATAATTTGAGAAATCGGAAAGACAGGTCAATTTCATTGTCAAGGGGGGCACTCAAAATGATTAGTTCATGCCCTCTTGGTTCAACCTCCTAGAAGGGGTAAATAGAACCCTCACAATCTTGAATATTACATTATTTAAAGAGCATGCCATTCTCTTTTCATCGGTACCCTAGCTTATTTTTTTTTCTTGATGCTTTGGGATTTTCTCTCCTCCTTCGGACGTTTCGGGACCGAATCTGCTCCCGTTCTCAACATATAAATACAGGAATATTTTCCTTTGAAAGTTGTGCTGCTTATAGTTTGACACTTGTCGTTGTCCTTTCATCATGAACTGTAACATATTTGTTTTTGTGTGATACATTTGCAAATTATTTTTCGCAGACCAAGTCATTACTTTTTGAATGTGCTTTCAGCTGTATTCCTCAGTAAGTTCAAGTTATCTTCAATAACTATTATATTAGTAGTGTGGTAGAATTTCTATTCAGATAAACTAATAAATTATCAGCAAGAACAATAAGATATAAGAAAGGTCCCAAAGTGCAAAAAATTGCAACAGTACACTAGTTTTTATAATTTTTGATGAGCAGTTTCCGAGAATTTCCGTTATAAACTTACAGAAGTAATTAGAACATGCCTGCTTTGAGATGCATGGTTTCCAGGTTAGTATTATTGTATTGACTCTCCTTTCAGTCGAAATAATAGGAATATTTTGTGCTGCTCCACGTCCATGAGCTCTGTTTCTGTCAATCATAGCTCATCAGTGGTACTCGGTTGGTGGCAAATGGATAAATAACACTCTCTGTTCCAGGTACGCAGCCGAGTATTCCAGGAAATGCTTTACGGTATCCAAGCGGGTTTCGGCTCGCCCCAGGTGCCGGTGGCAGAACTTTTGGCTCGGCCCGTGCCGTCCATCCTCAGCCCGCAGCAAATGAGGCCCAAGAGCAGCAACTTCTTGCAGGTATAGTTTCAAACGATCCCCGTGACGATTCACATAAGCATAGATAGGTTTTTGTGAGTAATCTAGTCACATAACTTCCCTAATAGTCCAATGAAACGGTATTCGCACGTGGAGAAAATTCAAGTAGTCAGTGTCTCGGCGGTTTTTTATGTTTTAGGGGATGCTGAATCTGAATCTGGAGTTTACAAACTAAATTTCCAGTCCGCAGGTTTTTGCTCGTAACTTGGAGACTATACTTTCGAGCGAAAATACCACCCTGAAAATGGTAAATTCGCGTAAGTAGTTAGTCCGTCTCTACAGCCCAGCCTCACGCCTCCACCTTTCTCAAAACCACGTGACCCAACTCGCCTATCAAAGGCCGGCATTTGGTTGGAACACCACGAGAATGTCACGGAAACGTGACGGAATACCACGGAAATGTCTCACAAATGTCACGGAACAACACGAAAATTCCACGAAACACCACAAAAATGTCACGGAAACCTCACGGAATACCACGGAAATGTCACGGAACACCACAGAAATGTCATGAAACATGTTTGATGTTTTCGTGACGTTCCCGTGATATTTCCGTGGTGTTACGTGACCTTTCCGTGGTGTTTCGTGGCATTTTTGTGGTGTTCCGTGATTTTTCCTTGGTGTTCCGTCACATTTCCGTGGTGTTCCGTGACATTTACATGATCTCTTCAGAACATTCGATGCTCTTACAATTTGGGTATGTTGTGTTTTCTCGAGTAATACATAGATTATGAATTATCTGCGAATAACCGACCAAGAACGCTATTTTTTGCAACGCAAATTTGGTCAATTTTCAACTTGCTAATACACCTCACTTGCTAGTCCTCCATCCACAAGCAAGAACAATACATGTAATTTACTAGCTGCCAATGGCTGACTCACCTAGAACAGGTGCTTGCTGAGGTGGAAAACTCAACCGTCAAGAAAATCCTAGGTTTCACCAGACGTCTGGTGTTATAGATGACCATTATTAGATAAGGGTCATGCTTACAATCTTCAATCTGATCGTTGCTACATCGTCGTTTGGCGGGGAGCTGGTACCCTAAAGGATCCAGTTCTGGGGATGGTGATTGTGCAGGTAGAGCAGGTTGTGTTTGCTCCAGGGTACTCTATATGGTGGTATATAAGAGACACTTCTTTTTCCTCTGCTAACGAATAACAAGCAGCAGATGTGAAAAAAATTATTCTACCTACAGTTGATGTGAATACAGTGAAAATTCAGAAATCAGTGTATACGCTGACAAAATCAATAACTCACTTGGCCAGGACTCCTTCACATCAGGTAGTGTAGTTCTTTCCTTCTAGAAATGCGAAGATTATGAATTATCTACGCAACCGCAACTCAACGCAAATTTGGTCAATTTTTAACCTGCTCTTGTGTCGCACCCTTAAGTCCTTCATTTATGAGCAATGATAATTATATATAGACAATTTAATCTTCAACTTTTTATAGGGTAACAAACTCAAAAAAGTGCGAAAGTTGCGCTGTTTTTTGCGAATATCTCTGAACCCTCCAATAAATTTCAAATTTAGTTTGCAAACTTCAAATTCAGATTTAGCACTCCCAGAAACATTTTAATTTCTCCACGAGAGGATAATTATCGTCAGCGTTTTACTGAGCTATATTTGCAAATCTTTCCTGCAGGTACCTGATATGGAGACACCACGACCAAAAAGCGTGCCTTCCTCTCCCATGGTGAAGAGGGCCTTCACTAGGCTGGGGACCATCACGGCAGGCTGGGGTAGGTCGATACGCAAGCACAGTGCGCAGCAGCTCAACGTGGAAGACAAGAAGAAGTGGGCTAGCAGCCAGGATTGCTCGAGTGAGTATAATTATTTCATTAACACTCTATATATCAATATGTTAAACTCGAATGTTCGCTAGCTCAGATGGATGAGGTCAAATATCTAGTAGTAATCCTTGACGAGAAACCCACCTGAAATCGACAACAAGCCAAAATCTCTCAGCCCACTGGATCTGCTGAATAATGAGTGAATAATGCTCTCAGAGTAATCTAACATCAGAAAGCAGAAGAGAATCATTAGTTCTTACTCACGGTAGTTAGAACCATGATCACAAATAATAACAAGTACTAAAATTCCGGCATAACACTGAAACAATTACACAATCGACTAGGAAAAAGTCAAAATACTCAAAGGGGAATCAAATGGTGACAAACAGGGAGAAAATCAAAGTAATTATCACAATAGTTCATGAAATGAACAAAAATAGTAGATACCGAGAGGAAAACAATCATTTTCCTGGCTATATGCCACGCAGAACATTGAATTACATCCTCTCGAAATCATTGAAACGATTCGTGAAGACGAATACAGTTGCAAGTGTTTCTTGTGTGCTTAAATTGTTTAGGAACGCTTGACTACCATATGGTGAAAACCTGACCCAACGTTAACACTTCTCAGCATTCAAAACCCACAAGGCGTTCGACTACTGTCAAATAGACAAAACGCCGCCTAGCAGAAGAAAGAAACATTCCAAGACTAAAATTCCTACACTCGAATGTTCTTTAGCTGACGATGTTCTCTGAACATTACAGGATATCCTTTTTCGTGGGAACCAGAACACGAAAAAAAGAAAGAGGTAGAATATGTAGGAGTATTTCTTGACGACAAACTCACCTGAAATCTACACTCTACCAAATCGTTTCAGCCCACTGGATCTGCTGAATAATACTGAGAAAAACCTTACACCAAAAACCTAACTCACGGTAGCTTCAAGAATATCTATAGTTTTGTTATTACAGCAGCTCTCAGTGCATACATGCTGATCTCCAGTATATGACAATGCAGGCAGTCGCATGGCCATCTGCAATAATATCAAATGGTCTCACCGGCTGAACCATCGGATCATATGGTAACGAAACCAACCCAGGATGGGCGTTCGAAGTTATCATGAAAACAACGGAAAGTGGGCATAATTAGATATAGTACGAAGATAAATCATCAGTCAACCGATTGTGTACCAATGAATAACCTCTGTTATGGATCAACACATCATCATAGATAACTTGAAAGATACAAAAAATTCAATGATGTTGAGTGTAGTAAATGGTTTCAGTAAAAAAGGACCCACCAACAGAACCAATGTGCTTTCGACTTACATTATTCCTGAGGTCATATTAACAAGTAGGGCAATTATGTATAAGTATGCTCAACTCGGCAAAGCGAAGTTGAATTCAATGTTATCACAAGTGTTCTATAAGATCACTAGTTGAGGTTGATTAATGTCACTATTGTGATCAATGGACTGAAGCTACGAAGCATATACTTTGCTCTTACATTGAAAAGTAGATATAGTATTGTAATGATATTCCCCTTAGAGGGGCTCTAGAAACATCATCAGGAAGGCAGGAGTACAACGATCATCCTGTAACACGCATCCCTGATTGTTCTCCAACATCCCGATGATTCCTACATGTACCAGCCTATTCCCGAACACCCAATATATAAAATAACGTAACAGAAGGTTCTGGAATGTTCTGGAAACAATCGATGGAACGATGAGAGAGAGAGGTATTGTTTTACGAAGCTTCTAGAATGAAAAGAATAGTACGGAAGATCATTGGAGAACGTTCGAGAAGCAAAGCCTACCAAGGGATCTCATATATAAGGACGACCGGACAACTGCCGTCAGTCAGTCAAGCAGCGAGTGTCAGAGAGACAGTCATGTACCGCGTGATATAAATCGTTTTACATAAATAGTAGTTATGAGTTCGAAATAAATTAGTGTTCCTTTAGTTAAAATAAATCAGTTGGAAAATAAATAGTGTCGTGTTCGCTTCTGCACCTGAATAACGTAACAGTATGTTCAAGCCTTGGACAATGATGTCAACTGAAAGATCACGAGAATATACATATATAGAATTTACAGCAACCCATTTAATCAGATCAGCTAACCTGCAGATTCCACTGGTCATGTCAATATCACTGCATATTTATTCAATCGCAGTATCGGAATTTGTTTACGATCACGAATCACGATCACATCAATATTCGTCTGGAACAAGCACATAATTCGATTACACCACCGTCTCATGTCATGAATCTAACAAATGACCTTCAACCACCTAGTGCCGTCAATCGAGAGGTGATCAAAGGAAAAAACACAAACACTAAGTCGGTCGACCACAATAGTATATTACATAACAAGAGTTGTAAAACGCATATTACGCACGAAGTGGAGAGAGTTACACACGATGCCGCATAGCGGCGAGTGTGTAACTCCACAAGTGCGTAATTGCTTTACAACTCGAGAATTGTACTATACTTTTTCTACGACTACACTATATTTTCTTCCGGATAGTGCAGATATTGATGTATTAAGGCACAAATAACGAATACCAATATGAAACTTCTCCCGTCACTAAGCCAGCTGCATGGAAAGTTACAAATCACACATCTTGTGTTTGTTTATTGATACATTGCATACCGAGACATTTTCCTCAATTCGAAATGAAATGAAGCCATTTTTCATATCTAAACAGCTTCATTAATAGGGAGCAAAACACATTGTATAAAAATATATAATCAACATTCATAATGGATATTTATTTGTAACAGTGCAGCACGAGAGATTCTGTAATCGTTATTAAAAATAAAAAAAAAGTTCTCCAACTGCGCTCTGAACCATCGACCTTTTGGTTCGGAGCCAGCGCTTCCAACAACTGAGCTATCACCATTTCTCCGTATTAGTAGATATTTTATTCATAATTTCGAAGATTGATCTTTTTTAATTATTCCTGTTATTCAAAGGAAAAGGAATTCATCAATTCAATGTTGAGTATTTTTTTCATTTCTAGCTTTTTTCCATTCTAGCTTTTTCCATTATTTCTGGTGGTGTAGAAATAATCTGCTCATCGTCATCGCTTGAAATAATTTTTTTGAGGAAATTGAGGATTATCAATAGAAAATAATCATATTTTCAAAAAATCTAACTTTCCTGATGCTTTCGGTTTCGGTGGATAGCTGGATTGATTGATAAAAAGATAAGTACCTACCCACCTAGCTAGTGACATTAATGAAATCGTTAATTGTTATTGACACATCGCCTAAGCAACAAAACAAGTCATCTATCAACATGCCTATGAAAACCGTGCGATCGCTCTCTTTACGCACATGTGTGTAAGGAGTAGCTTACTGCCATTGTTTTGTGTACAATATCCATCACTTACAGTAGTAGTCGTAGGAAAAGTTCAATTACAAAAGTTTTTGTGACTAGTGTGACACGAGAGGTGATTGAGAGCAACAACCTGCCAAGCAATCAATAACATCGTTCTCCAATTATTGTTTCCAGATAAAGACGGCAAAGACAAATCCGGCAAACCGTCGAGCTCGCAGCAAGCCGTGCCTAGGCTCAGCGTCTGCGCAGACGCCCAGAAAGTGGACAAGGCCAAGCTTGCCCAAACGGAGTTCTCCATCATCGAGTTCGACTCGGACACGTTCCGGATCCTTCTCGACTACCTGCACACGGGCTCTTGTCCGCTGACGTGCAACACCATCCCAGGACTGATCTGCGCGGCGGAGCACTACGATCTACCGGAGCTGCTGCAGGCGTGCTTCCACCATGCCAAACAGTTCCTCAGGATCGATGTGGTGAGTTGTATTGGTCGGTAGCTTGAACTTCATCACAATAGATAGACACCGCACTTCATCACAATAGATAGACACCGCACTTCATTCTTTTTTTTCAAGTTCGATGCTTTGGTGATGAGTGGACTGTAAATTTATGATTGTTTGATGAAACCTGATGAAATGAAACTAGAAGAGAAGAGATTGCAACTTCTCCTGAACTTTATTGATTCATTCTTATGTTTCAACAACACGTCGTCATGTTAACAATAAATCAAATGATATTTCATATAGGGTATTATAAGTACCAAATAACTATAAAGGGTCAAAGTACTAAACATTCCGCCGCCCTTGCTTTCAAAATTTTCATTACAATTTTCATCTTGAATAATTTCACATTCATCTAAAGGTAAAATACATATCTTGTTGATTGGACGCTGAAAATGAGTTGTGAATTTGCAAAATTTTCACAATTCGTTTTGCAAAACTGGAAATATTCCGTTTTTAGCTATTGAATCCACAAATCCTTCATTGCAGCTTCAGAAATTCGGTAGTAAAATAGCATGCGGGAACATGTAAAGTAAACAAATCCATTCAACATTTCGTGCTCTCTTCAGATATGTAAGCAGATTTTGTAAATTCAAACATACAGGGTGTTTTCTCGAGGACCCAATAATATGTTAAATTTTGTTAATCCGGACCTGGAATTTTTTTCTGGCGGTACAAGTCGCTGGGGTAGCAGTGGAGAAGCACGTCTACCAATTATCAAGGAAATATACCAGGTGGTTCGTATGCTATGAGCCTTCAAAGAAATTACTAGAATTGATAAAACACCTTATTTATATCGATAATGAAACATGTAAGACCCAACATATATGGTATATTCAGAACCACCTTGGTCACCTCTATCCACCGTTAAAGTATTTTCGTTTCCCAACGGAACACCCTTTATAAAACAGTGAAAACCGATCAGACACAACAGCCTAAAACCACCGCTAACAACAAACACGACATATGACATTCCTCACTATACTAGGTGCGTTCGGTTATAACATAATATCTGTTAGCTCGATTGCATCTGTTAGCTCGGAAAGCGTTCGATAAATCAGATCTACTTCCTCTGTCTAATCTGCTCCGTGTTCGTTAATTGTCAGAGCGAGCTGAAGGATGTAATCTGTTTGCACCGCCTTGAGGAGCAGATCGTTTAGATTTGATCGGTTATTCGGTTGTCAGTTGTCAACAAATTAAGCAACAAATCAATGTCAACAACATGTTATTGAAGTTATATATCTCTTTTGTGTCAAAAAATCAAAGACTTGATCAACTGGAAACGAAACACCAAACTGAATGACCGACGAATTTGCTATAGGTAGCATATTGTATATTTGTAATATATGCTATCACAACTGCCATGATCCACAGTTAATAACCGATCATAATGAGACAGACTCATTCCTCATCTAGTAATTTCCAAAATATAAATCCAAGTAAACAACAAACATTCAAAAGAACTTTGTTGCCCTGACTTGTTTTTCAAAAGTAATAAGGTGTGAATTGTTTCTGTTTTCTGTTACTTCTGATGACAGCTGGCGCTCTCAATCTACTACCTCGTTGAGCTCTATCAGCTAGGTGATCACGTGACACCAAATCTGCATCTGCTCGCTGGGCTCCGAGTAGGTGCTGCCACGTTTTGATTCGTATGATTTATTTTATTTCGATATGTTCCTTATAATATCCAACAAGTAGGTAGTGAATTTCTGGAAATATTGTTGTTATGCTTGCATCATTTTGTTTTGAAGGTTGTTCAATTTTATACCATACGTTTTTATTATATCAGGCATACGGAGTTCCGCTTTTCTACAGGAATTGCAGGCTGAAGTTTTGGAGGATGATTAACATACATAATATTACTCCTTGATCTAACAATACATCATGCTTTTCTGGAACAAGAAGCATATTCAATGAATAGTAGTTATCTTTTCAATTTTTTCAGGTGTGTTTCATGTTATGTTCTCTCGAGAACTACTACTGGAGGTATACTTCGGCATCCGAGCTGGTGAACATGATATTAGCGTTCGTAGAAACAAGAGCTGTAGCTGTGTTTCAACTTGAAGACTTCCTCAATCTGAGCGAGTCCATGGTCCAAATGATCATGTGCAGGTGAGTTAAGAAGGTCGAATTTCTAACAAGCAAAACTGTGCTGGTTTATCATTCAGAGGAAATGGTTAGCAGACCCCTCTTTATACTAACTTTTTCTCTTGGAACTGACAGAGGATTATCACTCGAGAATATTTCATTTACTGAAATTGGACTCTGTGTGAATAAAACAAAAATGTTTTTGTGTGAACAATCAAATGAGAGGCACTATATCGACTTTGTGTTCCACTTATGATTGATTAAATGGTCATAAACCATCACTTTACAGTTAATACGAATTAGATGAGAAAGTCTTTTTTTTTCAGGAATTTGGAGATACCCGAAGTAGTCAAATTTGAGGCAATGCTCACATGGGCCAAACACAAAATTCGTACCAAGACTTCAAGTAAAGTAGACACTAAGTTAGAATTCAAATGTATCATGGAACGGTTATCCAGAGATTTGAAACTGTACCGGATAGCTCCTCAGGAACTGATAAAGGTGAGTAACATCTGGATTGTTCCAGAAGAATTTTTTTTTCGAGAAAACATTGAGATGTCACATATATATTAATGTAGGTGATTATGAAATCGTCAATTCACTGATTATTATATTGTCAATTGATTGATTATTATATTGTCAATTGATTGATTACTATATGCATAACATGAATCAATATGGAGTGTGGTTTAGGATGCGAATATTCAAAAAATACACTCCTCCAAGAAATTAACGCACTAGCCAAAGAAAGCCTGAAGTTTAATATACATTATGTTTTAAGAATTTTTCGGTCGATATTTAGGACCTAAATTCATCAATAATGCCACGGTAATTCTCAATTGAGTATTGATAATATTCCTAATTACCAAATAATAAATTCAATTGTCTCTAAATGTTCAATTATGATTTGTGGCTAATTGCTTTAAATTTGTGTAAATAATGATTATATCAATTCACAATAGAGGACATTTGAATCGGTGAACGTGACAAGACAGCACACGACTTGTGGACGTGGTCTTGTCAGTTCTCAGCATTCAGCACGATGTTGCCAAAGTCTCCAACATTTACATGATATTTTCTTATGAAGAATAAAAAAAATTGGACATGCTGGTTTTTCGAAAAGGTCAAGAATGAACTATAATATCATGGGTTCCTTCTATTATGTTTTATGCAACGACAGGACTCTTACATCTTTCTGATGACTCGATTATAATTGGTGACTTGACAACCTTGCTTCATGATGAGTGGGAATGGAAGATTATCTGACCAATAACGAAACAGCATAGAAATTGACGTCACCGTTTATTCGACGTATCGCCAAATGGAGGCCATGAAGGTTCGTTTGGAACTCTGAAATTCAACAATTTTTATCAACGCATAGATATATATACATGAAAAATCATGAGAAGTGAGTGTGTTGCAAAGATTAATTCAGGTTCCTAACGACATAGTGGAGTAATTGAATTCATTATCAGTTCACTCGCCCATTGTGTAATATTAACACTATCAAGATGGAATTGAAATTACACTTTAATATTGCACCCAGTACGTATAAAATAGTTATTTTTGTATCTAGAGCGCAAAATGCTACTTTAGTGATCGAGATCTGTTTTTTTTTTAACGAGGCGTAGCCGAGTTCAAAAAATAGTCGAGATGACCAAAGTATTTCGCGCTCGAGTTGCAAACAACATTTTTTCAACAAACGTCAAAAATAAAGTTCTTAAATAAAATTATGCCTAGCTCGATAACAAAAATAGTGTTGAACTGGCTTAAAAGGTCTCCCCTATCCCCCCTAGGTACGCACGATGTTCCACGAACATAATATGAATTTCATTTCGTGCGCTCCAAGAGATAAAACAGAGCTATTGTTGAACATTCAGAAATAAATGATTTCGTGGGTGTTTGCTCGATTGAGGACCAGCAAGTTGAAATATAAATATCTCGTAATTACATAACAATGCGCGAAGTAGGTACTTCGCGCATTGTTTTGGGCAAGGTAGCATGGTAACGTAGGAAACTGAAAAAAAGTGTCACTTCGTTTGTTATCAATGCGCGCACGTTGTCATATTTTGACGTCTGTAGAAAAAATAGGTTTTTATGCAAATACAGTTTACACACCAATGTTCAGAAGGAGATAACCTGTCATTAAATACAGAACATTTCGGCTACTTTTTGGTGATGCATTAATTCCTTGGAGAAGTATAATATGTTTGTCTTTCACTCACTGAGCCGTGACGTCAGTAGTTAGGAGTGGAGAATTTCGACCGTTTTATGATACTGTGACTTTATGTGCGATTCTGAGACATCCGAGCCATTCAAAACATTTTTGAAAAATATTAAAACTTAAAAATTAGTTCATTAGTTAATTCCGGCCATTTTGTTTTACAGATTGTATTGCCTTCTAAGGCGATCAAGAACGAGATTATTTTAGAAACCCTGATGTTCCAAGCCAATTCCGGTATGTACAGAATACAGGATTCGTACTTGCAGGAATGCACACAAAGACTGCAGAAACAGGACTCTAGATTTTCAGAAATGGAGTCTTTCGACTACGGCAATTAGATACTCTATTCGTGGATTCTAGTATAGAAGACAATCATATGAAATTGATAATTTCGAGAATCAGGATCAGTGTGGTTTATATAGAGACGATCTCAAAAGTTGTTAGTATTTAAACGGATCAAAGCGGAAATGTATTTACTACCTTTGGAAATTGTTTCTAGTTTGATGCGAACTGATTTTATCATCACACGTATTTTCAAGAAGGGTACTCTCTCAATATACAATTCGATGAAATATCGAAATTTTCATTCCGCAATTGAACCTGACAAAGTTTAACAAAAGTCAGCTAAGGAGTTTTGAGCTGTGAATGAAGATCTGTTATATTTAATCTCAGCACCCTGAATCTTGAGAACGAAGCTTTAGAAACATACGTGGTTGTATGTACTTGTCTCCTCTTCTTTCCCAAGTTCTGTCGGATATCAAACATTCCTGATTACAATCTGAAATACGCAGTATAAATCATAATGCTTAAGGTAAACAGAACTATTTTACTGATGGTATCTTTGTTGAGATTTTGGATATGTCATTTCCGAAAACGATTCATTTATCTTTAATCAAACTTCTGCTCATTAAAAGTGAGACCGCCAATACAGAGTGTTGAGGAATCGTCCGACGACGCTTCATAGGTCATATTATCTGTCCTCGTTTCTAAAAATAAAGATATGAATATTATTTGAATCTAAGTATAGTGAGACAAATCAGATGATTTGCCTCAAAATTCCACTGCGTTTGAAATGTTTTCTATCAGAGCCAAAAATAATAATCAAATCATTCGTCAGTGAAAATTCGTTTTGAAAAATATTTGGAGAAAAGAAACATAGTGACATTTCTGGGCAAATCATCTGATTCGTCCTTGAAACGAGGAGAGAAAATCCCAAATAATCTAGAAAAATGAATTTACCACCTTCTCGATTAACCTACAGACAGTATTTCGAAAATAAGCTCCTCAAGTGTTAAGTTTCAGAAAATATATTGTGTAGGAGGAGTTGAGTAACTAAAATCGTTCATAGGAATAATTCCAAAACTTCTACCCTACTTGGAGAATTTCATTCACTTCTTTCGAGTTTTTTAATTCCCTGTTCAGTTTGTTTGAAAGAACGCATACCGAACCTTCAATAACCACCGAACATAAACTTATGTTCGGTGCAATAACTGAGCCATTGTCGAAATGCAAACCTTTTGGGCGACCTGATAACTAGCTGACTAGGTTGTCATTTAGAACGACCAAAGACTGAGATAAAATCAACAGTTTCAGAGACACAGAGTAAAAGCAAGCATTGCTATTCTTTCTGCATGAAATATATGTATTTCTGCACAATAAACCACAATAAGAACTATCCAGTACCTCAATATACCACACTACACTATAAACCAAAATATTTTGTCAGATATTTTGGATACGATTGTTTCAAGCATAAAGTTGAAGGTCATCTGTCTTTTCAACAAGATTGAACGGGGAATTTGATGAATTATAGACACCATCTTGAGTTCGTCAGTTGTGTGTAGAAGATATGATGTGAATAACACATACACCTTTAGGACTTGAAATGTCCGAAACGACTTTTTTCTGCAATCGGCTCAAAAGTCGTCCATTTTTGTTTCAAAATTATAGCTCTTGAAGTTGACGTTTCTCTTACAAACATAATAAAATGATAAGTATGTATGTTGCTAGGCAACACTTTCAGTGTCTAGGGGCTGAAAATGAAGTTTAACTTCTAGGAACTAGAAACATGTCTGGTGACAACTGATATGGTAGCTGCTTCGACACTGACAAATGACTCAAAATAGTGGTATTTTCACTAATATTTCATTGATTAGATATCAATTATTTCGACTGAGAAAGTGACTCTGTATGACTCGCAAAATTTGCGTGCTCGGCTTCGTCGTCGCTCCGCTTCGCAAAGGCAAATATCGCTTGTCAAACAAAGTGTCACATTTGATCCTAATAAAACAATGTCCTATTATGTCGAAAATTCACATATTCAGAAATGGTTTTAACCTTCTTCAACGTATCTTTAACCCCTTAGCTATATCTCAAGAACTGAGCACCTGAGGACATTATGAACCTAACTTATAAGTCGTTACTATGTCGTGAATACTTTTCATTGAAACAATGGTAAAACGTTGTTTTGGTGAGAATTGAATAACTCGAATGAGTTTTCTTCTCGTCTACCTACATAAAATGTTGAATATTTCGTTGTTATCAAATACCGCTTGTAAAAAAAATTCGATGGTTCGAAAAAAATACACTAAATACACTAAAAAAGTGCAGTGTGTTAAGAATGCCCAAACTACAGTGTATTCTCTGTAGCAATAATAGTTATTCATACACCAAGGTAGTAGAGAATATCATTCTTACCCAGGAACCAACATTATATTCCGAGGCATCAGCCGAGGGGTATAAGTCCCGTGGTAATAAAGTCTTAACTTCCAAGGTGTATATTAAACTTTCTTCACCACTAGCAATATATTTCAATCATTATAGTTTTGTGAAACTGAAATGTGAACCTATGTCACTATGAAAGCACTTATTTTCAATTCTAATTAAAATCTAGTCACCATGACAGCATATTATGACAATTCGTTATTGATATATACCTCTAGATTCGATTGCCATTCCTGTGAATATCGCATCAGAACAGTGTATTCCTGGCTATGTCTTCATTGACTATACAGGGTGTCCGGAAATTATGCGCAAAAAATCAAGGGGGTGATTCTGCATGAGAAAATATGAAATTTATTTCATATATGCTTGAGTCCGGAAATGCATAGTTTTCAAGATACAGTGTGTTGAACTTTTTAGAAAAAATCGTTTTTTTATGAATATCTCTAATATTCTTTCACCAATCCTCTTGAAATTTGGTTATGATATTCTTTGTCATGAGCGGCTGATTTAGCAATTTTTAAATTAGAATTGTGAAATCCAGTGGCGTCCCGGGGGCACCCTACCGGATATTTTTGTCAATAAAATGTGCGCCCCTGATTATTTTAAATTCTCTATATCCATATCCTAATGATTAACTAAAAATACAACATTTTAGTCACTTGAATTATTTTGCAATTTTGCTGCGTTCCCGTAGAAAAAAATAAATACCAATTCATTGTATAAATTTGTGCAAAACATTGCTTCACAAACAGGGGTGAAATTAAATGTGTTATCCATGTTTATAGACGTAGAATAAGAATTGAGATTCATTTTGTTCAAATATTTTATAAAACATGTTTGACACACTTTGTATTATCGAAAACTACGCCTTCCTGGACCGAGATTACATAGTTCTCAATAACCAGAGTGTAGAGTGTGTCAAACATGTATCAAGGAATATTTGAAGAAAATGAATCTTCATACATATTCTCTATCTATGGACATTGATGCCGCATTTATTTTTACTTCAGTTTTTTAAGGAATTTTTTGGCACAAATTCATGCAATAAATTGGTAATTATTTTTTTCCATGGAAATGAAGCAAATTATCAAAATAATTCGGGAGTTCAAAATGTTGTATTTTTAGTTGGTCTATAGGTTATGAAGATACAGAATTAAAAAAAGTCAGTGGCGCACATTTATTGACAATAATATTCGGTACGTTGCCCCCCGGGACGCCACTGGATTTTATAATTCCAATTGAATTATAACTATATCAGCCCCTCATGACAAAGAATATCATTGCCAAATTTCACGAAAATTGGTACAAGGACATTTGAGATATTCATAAAAAACCGATCTTGTTTAAAAGTTTTAACACACTATATGTTGAAAACTATGCATTTCCGGACCCACGTACATATGAAAAGAATTTCTTATTTCATCATGTAGAATCAACCTCTTGATTTTTTGCGCATAATTTCCGGACACCCTGTATAGTGATTCATAATATGACGAAAAATACCTTGCTAGTAAAATAGTATATTACTCAACAAGCATAAAATGAGGTTATTATTTACGAATGTTAAGTTTATGCTCAACATATGTTTAATCATAGCTCATTCGACATTGAGAAAACTGAAATTTGAAGATACCTGTTATATTAATTATTTGTCCACAACTGTTGTACTTCCTCAAGCAAAACGATAGCCATTTTTCACACCAGTGGATAATAGTGGTGAATAACCATTATTCACTGGTCTAAAGTTCCTCATATGTTATATCGCGTACCCTAGGAACTTTATATATTCATAATACATGTACTTCCTCAAGCAAAACGATAGCCTTTTTTTCACACCAGTGAATGATAGCAGTGAGTTACTATTATTTACTGGTCTAAACTTTCTTATATGCTATATATCGCGTACCCTAGGAACTCTAGACCAGTGAATTATGGTAATTCACTGCTATTATTCACTGGTGTGAAAAATGGCAACCCTTTTGCTTGAGGAAGTATAAGTATTATGAATATTTTATACAACAGTCGTGGATAATTAAACTATACGCCTTCATAAGAAGTGAATAATGGTGGGATCTATAGCTAGTGGTGGAAAAAAGAATTATACCATTGTCGTTTTAAATGATGCGAGGTATAATATTGTCTGTTCACTGAGCCAAAAGATGTCTGCCAATCAATGGCGCCGGTATACTGAAAAATGTCAATAGTTCATCTGTTTCAATTGAATATATGTCAATAAGGATAAGTTCCCGTTGAAGTTATCAACTGTCATTTCTCTATAACTCTACTGAACCAGAGATAGACCATATTGAGTCCTACGACCTTCCTGCTTTTACATATCCCTATTTCAGATGGGAAGTTATCTTTTTTGTTTCAATAGTTTTAGTTATCGTTCTGGTAGTTTTTCTTGATATTATACATTCCTATAATATTTCATTATGATGTCTTCTACTATTTAGATTAAATCGATTTGATTCTACTCACACTCATAATTTTTCTTTTCTCAGTTGACAAACTATCTATTTATACAGGGTATTTCATTATTGATTAGAATTATTGTAACTATCGGATCCTGAGCTCAAAATATGGAAATTTAACCCACATGAGTTAATGGGTGTTTCACTTGGAAATTCAAAAACTATTCGTGCCTAGTACTTTGAAACAAAATGATATATCAGTGTCATATTTCGCGGGAAATGTAGATACTATTATACAACTTACTATATCATGTAAAATGAACGTTTCTGGCTACTACCAGAGGCGTAGGACTAGGGCGAGTGACTCGTGGATATTCTTCCCGAATTCTAAGCCACTGACGATGGCCATTTCATCACAATCTTCCGAGATTCTCTAATACTTTCCTAATATCGTAATATTTCTTCATATGTAACAATAAAATCATTATTTTCCGAGATATTCCATGTTAAACATGAAGCGGCACAACTTGGTTTTGATGTGTATTAATTATGTCGATATATTGGATCAATATAGTTGAGATATTTCCAGTTAGTTATGATACACCCTATATGCGTGTGATTTCAAGAGAGATGGCAAAGTTATCAACAATATAGAAGCAAATAAGCAGTTCCTACCTCTCTATTCTTATCTCGCATGCACTCATCTCAATAAAGTGCAAACACTATAATATTTCATCACAGCACTGATGATTTTTCATCATTGTATTATATAACAATGTTTTTTTTTTGTTTTCTGGAACCTGTTTCATGTTTATATATGAGAATGAAAAATGTTCATGTTTGACATGTTTCAACATGAAAAATGTTCGTTCACAAACAGACGATAGTACTCTCCAACTGCGTTCTCTTCCAGAATCCCCATTGCTTCCCAGGAAACCAAAAACTCACGACGACTGCTGATCAACGCTGTCAATGTCAATCTTGCTGAAGTTACTTCCTGGGGAACCAAAAAGCTATAGTTGAATTCAACGCAACAAAATTCAAGCCTGTATTTTCTCTAGAAAGGCGGAACTCAGTATGCCTGATATAACAATATCTAGTCTACCATTATATCTATGCTTGTTATTTCCATCATCAATACTATTTCTTGGGAGAATCATGGATCGAGCCCATCGCGAAAGCTGCTACACAAAAACTGGGATTTTTATTCCGTGCGAAAATCTACTATACAACTCAACAGACTCTCATGATCTACAAAGCACATATACGGTCAGTTTCAGAATACTGTTCTCACATATGGAGTTCAGCACCCAAACATACGATGATGCTCTTAGATCCCATCCAGAGAAGAGCCATCGGTCTAGTGGGTGATGTCACACTCACTAGTACTTTGACCTCATTGAAACACCGTAGAATAGTCGGCGACTATTCATATTTCTATAGATACTTACTCGACAGGCCCAGTCAGCACATCATTTCGTTGTCAACCTTGAAATATGTCGAATAAGACTCTACCAAAACTGAAGTATTTCCAAGAACTTATAACCTACAAAAGATGGAAAAGAATTCAAATTCCTACCTCCCCTTTCTATTATCCTTTGGTACGCACGATGCTCTTCGAACATCATAGGAATTTTATTTCGTGCGCTCCAAGAGATAAAAAAAAGGTCAATCTGGAAGTTATTTGTTCAATAAATAGATAAAATAAATAAATAAATAAAATACGAAAAATTTCTAGCGTTACGAAAACGAATGAATGACTTCGTTTGAAATACAGCAGAGGAAACTGGTTTACTGAAAATATTGTCCACTATGTTTTCAATTAGAACAACGATTATACTAAGTATAGTCGAGTTCACGTAATAACTATTTCATTTTTGTGTATATTCATTATTTCAAATCAAAAATGATCTTTTGGGATTATGACATTTCCCAATTTCGAGAAAGAAGCCTTCCATTTGCAGTATGTGAAATCATATGCAACTAATGAAAATTTGATTTGGTCAAGTCCAGAACAAAAACAGAACATTTTTACATGAGAAAAGAACGTATGACATCATTAATTTCAGTATGGTGGTTGATAAATATCACAGATTTTTCTATTCCGGTCAAGAAACCTGAGGCAGGTATTTATCATACTAAGAGATCTGATATGAGAAATATCAATACACAGTTTCAGTTTACCACGACGAAACAATATTCAAGTAGAGTAGGTGTAGGTGAATAGTACCTAATGATGAAGCACGAAACAATCGTTGAAATATTAAAGAGCTTTTGAGATCATCTTTCGACTAAAACCTACATTGAAGCTATCTTGTTTTGGAAGAGATGGCCCCCAGTATTGGTGTGTATAACATATTGATAATATCTAATAATAATATTGTGTTCGATGTCCACACAAACCTTCAAGACTTATAT